ACCAGCTTAAACAAGAACTGTGGTGTTCCTGTGATACTTACTCAGCTTAGAGATGTAATGAAGGAACATTTAAACTTGGTAACTCTTTGCACGGCCTCTGAGTGCAGACCCTGGTCACTGCTAGGCTGGTAGCTCCGAGTTCCCAACCTTCACCTGCCATCCTAAGGATCATCTCTGCAGACACTGAAGCTTTTGTGCCTGTCAGAATCTAATTAACATATTTCATTCATTGTAACCATTACTTTTCCCGCATAACTTGAGATACTTGGATTTGTTTTTGCAGTCTCTCCCAGCACTAATAGAAAGAGCAGAAGGTTTTTCCCAAGCGTTAACTTGGCAACCAACCTTGGAACTCTGCAAGCTGCGGCAAGAAGTCTTTGCTGGTTGCAAGGCGAAGGAGGAAAATAATGTCCAAAATTTCATATCACCAGGAGAAGTCACACCAACAGACGCTGATACCAGTAAAAATGCTTACGTTTTGCTAAAAAAGAAAAAAGCTGCAGATTCACCTGAAAGAAGACGCTACCCACTTCGACGGAGGAAGATTACTCTCAGCACATGAATTTCCCATTTAGTATTTCGATGGAATCTGAGTTGTACTCTTGCTCAGTGTGCTCAGTCTTTTTCCTTAAAACTTTGTCTCCCCTCTAATTCAGTGCTATACATGGGAGCTTCCTTAATTATTTAGTCTTTGATCCTTTTAAATATTTCTATTTTTACTGTCACACTGATGGTATTTGAAAGCCTACGCATACCAGTAGCATCCGATATCCAGCAAGTATATTTGCTGATTAAGTCTCATTTTTTGCTCTCCCATTCCAGCATTTAGCTTGAGTCCTCATGCTTCTCAGAATTTGTGCACACACTTTATGTGTATGGACAGTCTTAGTAAACTATTAAATGCTCATTTACATTAAGCATGTCTCTAAAGAGGTTGGAGAATGTCTAGTTCTCCTAATGCACCTTTATTTATTACTGAGTTGGATGGCTATTTTTTTTAATAAATTTAAAAAGAAATTCACACTGGAGCATATTGAAAACACCAGGTTTGATACGATGTTAGAGTTTTTAGAAAATCCACACACAAATGTGACATTGGTCCCTGCTATTCCACCTTTCCTGAATTTAGGTCAGCTGGGCTTATTTATAGTCATGTTTGTTTAAACTTGGATTTTTGGTAATTGTATGTATTTACTTGCACTGTGCTCTTCTGAACAAGGATTTGAGCATCCACATCTTGTGATCTGATATTTCGTTTCATGTAATCCAATTATGCAGTCTGGGGGTTTCCTGGATGATATTTCTACACATTATAGGATCTTGACTTAGGTCATGTATGCATTTGTGATGTTTGACTAAACTTTAAAGATAGGCTACCAGTAAATGGTATTGAGTTGAGCTAGCCTACTTTTTTTTTTTCTTTACACATTAGTACCTAGACAATTGCACAGTAGCACTAAATTGAGCATTGCGCCTTCAGCATTCATAACTTTTTCTTGTTTATGATTGCATGTGCTTGCAGTAAGTACTCGTGTCTAATATGTAACGTATTTCTCACAGTAAATGGAGGGGTTGTTTTAGAAGCTTTATTAATGAAATGTACTGTGGTAAGAAGATAGGTCTAACCTAATTCTAAGAAAGAGATGGAAAATTTTCAAGAAAACGTGAGAGATTTTAGCATTTATTTTGTAAAGGTGAGCATCTGTACTGAGACTTTGTATATTTAATCGTATGTAAATATTTGTTTCCCGTTGCTCTTGTATATACAAATGTGTGTTTTTATACAAAGTAAATTAAATCAATTAAGGAAGATGAAAGTTTCAGATACTGTTGTCAGTTCTAATCCTGGAATAGATGGTGACTGAACAGTGAGCGTACTTCAGAAGACATCTGTGTTAAATTTTGGCTTGGGTAACTGAAGTAGTTCCATTTACTGCCTTTGAACTCACAACTGTTATTAATCTCAGGGCTACAAAGCATCTAATGTAAGAGAGCACAGGATGTGAGAGGGACTGGAGCTGCGAAGCTGTGGAACATGTGACTGGGACAGTTTTTCACACAGCGACTTGCTATTCTAGCTGCTTTGATTACGCGTGCTCTGTGCCGTGTTGAAAATCCCCATAATGGCTTTCTTCACCAAGATCCACAGATACTCTTTAATCTGGGTGTTCCTAGACTAAGATGAGCCCTGCGAGATTTTGCATGGCTACCATCATAGTATTTGAATGTTTTCTGTGTTAATAGGAAGATTCCCTGCTATTCTCTGCAAATAATGATAGGCAAGTACAGAGAATAGCTAGGAATAGGCACGTCTCTTTGAAGAGATCCCATCAACAGTGGCCAGAGTAGGAAAAATACCTTAAGAAATAAGGAGGAGAGAGCACTGTGGATTACGTCTTAATAAGCAAATTAATGAATTCACCCTACAGTGTGTGTTAGTGTTAAGAGATTGCAGGGTAGTTGGTCTGCACAGGATTTGAAGGAAGTGGGAATGGATGCCCTGAGCTAGGGCAGTCGGGCCTTGTTCCATGGCTGTTGTTGCAACTGCAGCTGGGTGAAAAAAGAAAACAAATGCATCTGGAAGCGCTGGCCAAATAAAGAGTGTAAAGAAGGATAAAACAATCAAGATTCCAAGTGCAGCATGTGAACTATGAATTTACGAATCTCTGATGGCTACTTTTGGCCAAGCGGCAATGGAAGGTGTTGGAGGACCTCCCTTTAAATGCAAGTTCTGTGATGAGCTAAACTCAACACTTGAATGTTCAGCTGTTTTTCAAATGATTATTAAAAATTTCTACAGCAAGTGATATCTGCAACTAGCCGTGCCTGGGACCTGTTTTTCCCACTGGCAGAAATATGTAAAATACTTAATTTTTTCACATTCCAGTAGCCTTTTGTCCTTCAGTTAACTTTTCATAGAAATCAGCAGTGTTGTGCAAGACAAGTGTCTAATCAGGCTTCTACTGGAATGTCACAACATCTAAATTTATTTTTAACTTGGTGAATTGCTGTTGCATCAAGAAATGTCTGGTAGTTTTTCTTTATATAGCCTTTGAATTTTGTAAGACAGCTCAATGGTGATGGATGCTTGGGAACATCTGCAAACAGAGTTTGAATTCCTTGGCTTTTTGGGGTGAGATGGAATATCTCGCTGTTTGTTGGCATGTACTCTCAGCGATGTGCTTATCATTCGTGAGGGTGGGCCATCCCTACCCAAGAAAAACTTGCAAATTGGAGCAGTATCCATGCACACTTTTGCTTTGTGTGGTTTCTGAACAAAGGGGATTAGACACAGCATGCAGGGAAGCTCCTCTTCCAGAAATCTTCACATGGACGCCGACGTCTGTTTGGAAGCTTGGGCGCGCTGGTGCTCGGAAACCCAGTTCCAGTAACGTGCCGCTCTTCAGAAGAGTGACGCTGTGCGAAGCTGCATTCAGTGGCAACTCTGCATGTGTGTAGGCTTCTTCAGTGCAGACAAAAATCACTGATAAACTGCCATTATAAAGTGTAAACTCAGCTGACTAGAGTGCTTTCTGGGCTTGTTTTCTGTCCTGCATAGAAATGCTCTGCCTTTACTGCTGCGTTACCTGGAATTACTGTGTAAGCATTTCTACAGATGTACCAGAGATAGCTTTAATACTAAGCAGAAACTTGTTCCCACAAGCAAATTTTGACTTTTCATTTCCTTTGTCACTTTGAACAAGAGCAGATTGTAGTCAGGCTCAAGGGGACTGTCTCGTGACTTGTCCCATACTTGTGGGATCCTGGAAACCTTACTCTAAAGCTGCCGGGAGTTACTCAGTGAAGTAGATATTTATTCAGTGCTAATAAATTCTTGGTAAGCTGCTCAGGACTTGATGCCGTTAGATAGCCTGCTTGTGCAGTTGCCATTAACGGCAGCATTGCTCCTGGAACAGCACGAGAGCTTCCTGCAGGGTCAGTTCAAATTGGATGATGAAAGAAGGGAGAAGCAAGACTGCTTTTAAAGAAACCAGGGGGCTAGGAACATCCTGTAAGATGCTTGGGAGACCCAGCGCGCTCTGGGGACGCAGGTTGAGGTGAGGGCGCTTTGGTGAGGATGTGTATCCGAGTTGTGGGTCCCTGTGGCTGTTAGGGTGGGGAGGGCTCATGGGTACTCGGTCCTCTGGGGTCAGAGGAGCTCTGAGAAAGTGCAAAAGCAAAGGTGTGGGTAGGCTGGAAGATGGAGACACAAGCTGCTTTGAGGTGGAACAGCTGGGGAGAAGCGCTTCCCATGGGGGAAGTCCTGCTCAGGTCTTTCAGTAATGCTGATGGTCCCGGAGCTTACCAGGAAAGCTGTGGCAGAACGCAGACTTCAGCTTGACTCTTGGACTCCTGGGCAGCGCGGTTCTCTCACCTTCAGCACGAACTGTTAGACAAATCTTCCGGAAAGGATATTCTATATTTACTCAATTTGTAAACTTTGTAACCTCGTCTTCATCTAAACTGGATGACTCAAACTTCTGGGGAAGCCAGAAAAACAGGGAAGTATCCAAGTTATTAAGATACCTGGGGCTTTATGACTGACTGCCCTGCCGTTGGCCCCTGTGACGAGCACAGCCAGGAGCGCACGTTTAGTTACCACGTTCAAATGCATCTGCGGTAGAGCAAGGATGTTGTTGAAGTACCTGTTGGTGCAAACACCTGCCCTTCCCTCAGAGCAGAGGGCCAAGGTAACGGTTCAATTAAAATATAAGGAAAGCATTTGGAGGGGTAAAAGAAACATTGTTCAGTCTGCCAAAATGCTTTCGACAGAATAGGCGAACAGAGATTTTTGTCTGCAGCAACCGTGTTTTCAGCAGTCCTTGCCCGGCTTCGCCTTTACAAGAAGCCTGTGGTATTTCCTTATTATTTAAAGGAACAGGGCGAGTAGCGAAAGTGAAAATGGCTTTATCCCAGCACCGGTGCCGCGTCCTCACGCCCGTGAACCCTGGCTGAGCCGGCTGTCACTTCGCCGGCGCTCGGGCCGCTTTCGAAAGCCGATGTCGCAGAAGCGCGGCGGGCGGGAGCGGCCGGGGCGGGGGGAGCCGGCCCCGAGCGCCGGGCGGG